GCCTATGACACACCTGTACAGTGAGGGCAGGGACAAACACTGGGGGGGCCAGGCAGACCCCCCCAGCCCCTGCTCTGCCTCATTTCTGTCTCACCCCTGCCTGATTTTGGCAGGTGTGACAAGATCCCCTCCTTTGTTCCAGCCAGGAACAGTCTCCATCTCTTCCTGCTGAGCCAGTTGCTCCTGTTATGTGAAGAGGTGGAGGTGTATGCAAAAACAGCCTGTCTGGGTCAGGGGAACACTGATCTTCCAGTGCTCCCCTGCTACCCTTCCCAAGCCCACGTGGCATTAAAATGCTCTGGCCCTCAGCAGGGAAGAACCTCAGTGTCCTGCCTTGCAACCTTCCACCAGGGAGCTGCTCCCACAAAAGCCAGAACTCTGGGTGATGAGCCCCAGGAGGAAACAGGCTCCCCACACACCTCAGGCGCTGAGCACTGCAGGAAGGTGCTCCACTGCCCACTACATATAATCTGCATAAAGGAAAACAGGAAATCCTCCCACTCTCCATCACCACCATAGCAGCTGTCCTTAAAAGCTCCTTTCCCACCTCTTCTTGCTCATCCACCGTGGAAATCAGTGCAGAGCTACACAGAGAGCAAGTGCCTGGCTCAGAGCACAGGAAGGGCACAGCCCTGGCACTGCCTTCCTAATAAAATCCCACTGGCCATGGGGCCCTGTTTCTGCCTCTCCCATCCTCGAGTTTGACTCGGGAACAAGGCTGGGAGAAGGAAGGCAGGAGACAGGATCCTGTTTTAAAGGGAATAGTCTGTTAAACACTCAGTCCAATGTCCTTGTGAAGGCTGAGCTCTGCCAGGCCCTGGAAAAGCATCACCCCTCCAAGGGCGTGCAGGGCCTGTGGGATTACACCATGGTGTCCACACAATTTTTCTTCCTCCAGAAAGAAGAAGTTTGGGAAGGCAGAGGCTGTCGAACCTCAGCTGCTGAAAGCAGCCATAGCCAAGGAATCCTTGACTAAAAAACAAGGATAATTGAGTGTCAAATTTGTGTGTATAATGCTCTCCAGTAGGAAGGAGCTGTTAGATTGCACCGCCACAGAGCTTTCAGTGCAACAGAGGGAAGAACCAGTGGGTGTGGGATTGTTGCCGGTTATATAATCCCTGGTGGCTTTGCCTGCACTGGTGTGGGTGAGGACATGGCCCCATCCCCATCCCTGTGCTATCAGCCAGCAGCACATGGCCAGACTCGGGGGGCTGTGGGGAGAACAAAGGGATGCAGATTTCCTGGGAGTCTGCTTTTGTTTTGCCAAGCAGAAGAGTGACTCAGATTTCAGCGCACTCCTGTAACTCAGCCAACAACAACACGTCCTTAGTCACGGCGATAAAGCCGAGGATCTGTGTTCCATTTGCTGAACTATAAAAAGCTCAAACTCATCCACCCAAGGGCCAGGTCAGTCACTAAACCAGAGACAACCCTGAGCTGTGTGCAGTAATGGCAGCATCTTCCTCCTCAACAACCTCTCAACTCATGGAGACTACTCAGAAAATCCACTGAACCAGCACAGATAATCTTGGTGCTGCACTATCACAGAGCTCTCTGATAACTCCTAAGCACTCACATGTTGTTCCAGCAGGGCTGCCAAAGCCTTGCAGAAATGCTTTCACTTCCTGAGAAACGCTCCAGGAAACAGCACTGTACTTCCTTGTCCTTAAGGACTGGCTTAACACATCCCTGTGCTGCTGTCTCCTGGATCTGTTTTTCATGGCTCTGAGGTACATCCACAGCTCACTGGAAGTGCCAGAGCATGGATTGCTCCACCTCAGCCATTGCACTCAAAGCAAACAAAAGGAGAACTTAAACTGACAAAGGGGAGGTTTAGATTGGAGTTTAGGAAGAAATGCTTCCTTGGGAAGGTGCTGAGGCCCTGGCACAGGGTGCCCAGAGAAGCTGTGGCTGCCCCTGGAGCCCTGGAAGTGTCCAAGGTCAGGTTGGACAGGACTTGGAGCACCCTGGGAAAATGGAAAGTGTCTCTGTGAGTGAGATGCACTTTAAGGTCTCTTCCATCCCAAACCACTTTGTGTTGCCCTGAGATTCCCAATCCCAGGGTAACAAAATGCCTGTTGTAGAGTCCTCCATCCCCCACTGCTGCAGGGCTGGGTAGGAACCCAAGGCTGTCAGCCCCTTACCCTGCATCACTCAGGTGATGTCTGTCCAAACTGGGTCTCTGCAAGATTTACCCAGGGATTGCTACAGCTGTGAATCAGCCTTTGAATTTTCAGCTTCATTTTTCTTTGGAAAAGGCTTCTCTGAAATAGGTGCTGGAGCACCTTAAGGCAGCAGACAGAGCTCAGGGTGTTGCCAGGACAGCACCCACCTGGGCAGATGTTTGTGCCAGGACTCAGCGTGTCCATTCATGCATGTTAACAAAGGCTATAAATACTCCAGGTTCTTCAGTGCCACGTGCCTGTGCCTGGCAGGAGGGTGTGTGAGGACAACACTCCCAGCTGGGCTCACCAGCACAGCCCCCAGTGCCCCCCATCACACCCAGCCCTGGGCATGGCCACAACCAAACTGGTTCATCTGCCATGAGGGCCACCAGGGAGCCAAAGGATTGGGCTTGTGGAGCAGAGGATCAAAACAGGGCATGGAAAGTCCTGGGGCTGCCACTACCCCTTGGAGAAGCTCCCATAATCCACAGCTGATGGTGAACATCTCCTGAGGAGCCCTTGGACACACGGGGTTGGAATGGTTTCTTCTCCTGCACAGGACAGAGCTGCTCCACCAGCTGCTGTCTCCTGCACTGCATGGAAGTGACAACTGATGGAAATTTCCATGCGCTTCAAAGCACAACCTCAGGATAGCTGCTTTTTTTGTGAGAAACCATCCCAAGTTAAAAATTAATGAAATTCACTTTTAGGATCATTTACTTTCCTCTATCCGAACAGCAGGATTTTTGCCAGTCTCTCCACACTGGAACACAGAGCATTCCTGCTTTGGCACCTTGGGGATGTGGCCTCTGGTGGTTAGGTTGCCAATTAATATCAGGTAATTAACACATTTGCTAGGGTTGGTTGAATCCCACCCTGACATTTTGCAAACCCTGCGTGTTTGGGGAGCGTCTTCATCAGCTTTTGAAGTTCTGAGCTGTGAGCTCCCTGCAAACCTCAGCCTGCACTGGAAACTGGGGCTGGGCCATTAGAGCAAACATGCCTCAAGAAGCAAACAGATTAAGGATTAATTAAATACCAGGATTTATTTAATTAAGCCTCTTCTCATAAGTAGGTAGAGGCAGGAATCTGCAGCGAGCATCCAGCCTTCCTTGCATTCCCATTTTTAGAAATGCAGTTAAATTCTGTGCTGTTTAAACACAACATTGGGGTGATGTGGACCCTTCCTGTCTCCACGAGCAGTGCAAGAAATGACACCACAGAAAGGAGGTTGGGGACACCTCTTCCCTCTTCCAACACATGGCATCCCTCATGAACAGCTGGAAGATCCACAAGCACCCAAGGATCCTGTGGAGTCCAGAGGGGTAACAAGTGCCAGCCCTGAGCAGGGGCAGGGGGCACAGGCAGCTTGTCCTCCTCATGTTTTTGATGAAAAACTTGTCCCTCCTGTTCCCTGCAAGAAAGGCACCGCAGCCCATCCTCTCACTGCCCGTTTAAAGGTCTGGAGACTGATCCAGGAAATAGCGAGGCAAGAGAACAAGATGAATGTTGGAACGCAAAATGTCCCTCAGACATTTTTGGAGGTTCCGGGCCCTGGTCAGAAGCATTTGAGACCCTGGCAGGCAGCTGGAAACAGCTGTGATTTTGGGTTTGAACCATGGAGTGATTTACCAACCTTGCAGGAAGAACAAGAAGTCACAAAAGTTTAGATATTACAATAGAAGTAGTTACAAAGTAGAGGGGAGAATTTTTTAGTGCTGTACAGGGGGGTTTTTAGTCTTGTACATGGGGGTCAGAGGTTTTAAGATGAAGGGATTTGGGCTGGTCCTGTCCTTCCTCTTCCTTCTTCCTTACCTCCATGTTCTTGGTGATGTTGGCACTCACAGATTGGTTTAGAGTAGAAAAGCGCCATTTAATATAGGTAATAGGCATTGGGGAAAAACTAAACATGTAACACGTAATGTACCATATAAAAGATAGAAAAGCACCATTTAATATAGGTAATAGGCATTGGGGAAAAACTGTAAACATTTAACATGTAACGTACCATATAAAAGACAGCACAGCCCTGGGCAGGGAGAGAAGAAGCAGTCGGGAGTCAGAGAGGATGTCAGGGTGTGTGTGTGCCTCTGCCTGAGCTGTGAGCAAACCATAGCAGCCAGAGAAGAAAATCTTTTAGATAACTTGCAATAAACTGCCTTGAGATTGAACAAAAAGAGACTGCTGAGCCTTTCTTTGGAAGCTCGGGTTGGAGGAGAAGTTTTTCCACCACACGGAGCCACCCCACAACCCAGGGTGGTCTTTGACAGATGAAGTCCAAGGTCATTTTGAATGCGCTCCCTCACCTCCTGCACAGCTCACCTGGCAGCACAGGATCACACACAGGTGTAAAACCATCCCCACCACGGCCCAGCTCTGGGCTGCCACCCTGCCAGGGCCCTCTGTCACCTCCCCATCTGCTCTGTCAGGGGCACTTCACTCCGCACAGCACCAAGGAGCTGGCCCAGCCCTTCCCCAGTGCTTTTCCTCCTCTTCTTGCTCTGTTTCACCATCAGTTTAAATTCTCCACGTTATAGAAAGGACAGAGGTGACAGTGCAGAGGTGTCACCGCCACATATCAGCCCACAGGGACAGGCTCAGCAAAGCTGGACTGAGCAGGCCAAGCGATGGGGATGGGGGAAAGCGAGGACCATGAGGGTGCAAAAAGCAGCCCAGGTGACAGCAGGGTCACTCACCACGAGCAACAGGGGGCTCTGGAATCTGGAAATACAGAGCATTTTGGGCACTCCCTGCTCAGGGTATCCCCATTCACTGCCTTCCCAGGGACCACACAGCCAGAAAGAACCACCACGATCTGATTGATTTGAAAATACATTAACCATAGAGAATAGAGCTTTAATTTTTCTTTCTCAACAACAAGAAGGAACAGTTTACATTAAAAAAAAAACCAAAAGCATGAATAAAATAATATAAAACAGATATTATACCACAGTGTGGAATTCAGATAATCTAAGAACATTAGCAGCACTTCTACAAATAGATTAAAAGCTGTAAGTGCTCGTTAAGCTCAGATAGAGCAACTCCCAGAGACCAAAATGGCATCCAACAGAGAAAAGCAGCAATTCTGTGTAGGGCAACAGAAAAGTCTAATGCCAGGACACCAGATACATTCAAATCCCTGTGCTGAGGGGTAATTCCCTGTCCCACAGAGCCCCCACGATGGCTGTCACACCCTGTCGCCCTGCCTGGCTCTCCAGAACACTCTTTGAACAACAGAAGTGACAATCGTGGGTCTGAAGTTACATCCACGTTACATTTTCAAAGCCTTTCATTAATTCTGTTTAGGAAAACAATTTATTCCCTGGCTTCTGGGAATTACTCTCCAGAGAGGATAAACTTCTGAGAATTTAAGTCAATCTTACATAGTCACAACAATGACATTTTTAGTCTCACCCAGGATCAGGATTTTCAATTCTTTATCGTCCTTAGCAGCAAAGCCATACTCATTCCTTAAACTTCCATGTATTTAAGATCTTGTGCATAGTTTAATCTTTAGCATTCATTCGTTAAAAAATAATGTAAAAAAAAGAATAGATGGTGCTTTTTCCCCCTCATCAAAGCACTGATGCTCTTGCTCTCAGTCATATCCCACTGCTAATGGCTCAGGAGCCACCGTGGAGAAGGGACTGTCCCCTGCAGCACCATCCACAGCTCAGCCTCCATGTGCACAATCCATCTCTAAAAGGAAGCTATTAAACTACTGAACAGGAATTTAAGGTGGAATATGCTTATCACAAATCTAAAATTAAATTAGAAATTAAACTAGATACATTAAAATACTTTCACGGCCATTCCAACCACGTACATTCTCCAGGAAGTTCAGGATTTGGGTAAAGTTGGGAAGGAATCCACACACTGAGCTGTGTGAATGTGTGGCTATGGCACCAAATGGCCTCAGCCATGGCCCACGTGGCCATCAGAGGACAGAATTGTGGTCACACTGAGAACCACAATTGTTTAGATGCCTTCATCAGTGAAATATTGCTTATTAAGGGCAATGAGGATGCTGACCTTGAGTGGAAAAGCAGGAACAATCAGTGGCATTTGATCTACTTCAGGGTTTCCGAAAAAGCTTTTATAGGAATTCCTGACACAGGTTCTGGTGAGTTCCAACCCTTCCATAGTGCTAGGAAGGGTTGGAACTCCATCTCTACGTTGTGCTCTATCAGTTTGTGCTCACACAATAGTAAAATGCTCAGTACTTGGGGAAATTCCCAAATGGAATGAGAAATAAAACAGGTTTTGATGACATGACCATCATTTTGGTCCTACTGAACAAAGGCTCAGAGGCTCCCACTGTGCCTCTATAGAGAAAAGTGATTTAGATATTGTAAGATATTTCAAAAGCAAATTTAGGGGATGAAAATCCCAGAACTGGTCCAGTCCCTGGTCAGAGGCCTATTGGCTACATGGCTCCCAGTGCAGGGAACCAACCTCAGGAAAATCCAGGAAAGAGAGGGAAAATAGCCAGGCAAAACAAGTAATAAATAAATAGAACCCAAATAATAAGAAGAACTGCATCCCATAAACTGTTCTTGGCCACAAGGCTTGTGTCTCCAGGGATTTTGGGACCCATCTCTTCAATAGTTCCATCTCTCAGCCTTTTTTTCACCTTTTTTTCAGTGACAAGGGGTGACACCTGCAGTTCCACTGCTGGCTCGTGTTGCACTACCAGGTGCATTTGGATGAGTTAAGGGATGTTCCCCATGCCAGGGGCTGGATGAGAGCAGGAGAGGGACACAGCAGGAAGTCCCCACACAAAAAAAAAAAAACAAACCACCAACCCTTTTTTCAAGTCTTCATGAAAAATATTCACAGCAAAGCAATTCAGGGACTCGACAGAGCAAGAGGAAAAACTCTCAGGAAAATCACACATTTAGAAACAAACACAACTTCTAAAGGGTCTGCACAGGTGACACCAAAAGAGATGGGTACCAGGAGCTTGTTGGAAGGTTGCAAGAGCAGAAAGCTCAAATGCAGGAAGAGAATCCACTTGTCACTCCCTCGGGGGAACACAGGGCCAGGACACAAACACTCAGTGGATTTACACACCCAAGATTACCTGAGCTCAGCAGCTTGAGTGTGAGACAAACCCCAAACCCCACAGCAAAGTGGGTGCTGAGTGAGGGTGGGATGGGAGCTGAACTCAGCCCGTGGAGCCCATCCTTCCTTCCTCAGGCTCAGCTTGGAGTGTCTGGGGCAGGGAACGTGGGCTGGCAGCTCCTGCCACCCTCCTGCACCCAGGGGAGAATGCAGCAGTCTCCTCAGAAAGCATGGAGTTATGAAATGGTTGGAGTTGGAAGGAAATTTAAGAGATCACCCTGTTCCACCTCTTGCCATGGCCAGGGACATCTTCCACTATCCCAGGTTGTTCCAAGCCCAGTCCTGGATTCCAGGGATAGAGGGTGTGCCAGTGCCTTGTAGTGCAGAATTTCTTCCTAAAATCCAATCTAACCCTGCCCTCTGTCAGTTTAAGGCACAGAGCTCCAGTGCCTGTTCCCACAGAGCCAACAACAGGCTAAAATAGTCCTGGGCTGGCAGTGCCATTGCTGGGGGGGATTTCAGCTGCACAGAGCTGCTGGGACGAGACATTCCTCTTCCCCAAGGGGCCAGACAAGATTACTGTATATGGGCAAGCCTGGTGCCAGGCCTCTGCTGCGTGGCAAACAGGCCATCCTTGGCTGCACAGCTGGGAGAGATCCCTGCTGGCTTCCAGCACCACGATTGCCCCGTCAGAATTCCAGAACAAAGCTTTATCTCCTGGGGATCCAGCAGGGAGGCAGAGCCAGGCAGGAGAGGCTGAGGCCAGAGAAGACCCACAAACAGCTGCACAGCAAAACTTTGCTTTTCAGCTTCCTAGCAGCTTTTAACCATCAAAGAGCCACAGGCTCCTGGTGGGGTCTCACTGTGGGTCCCCACAAGCACAAGAACTTACCCAACAGCTGAAACAAAGCTTTTTTATATTAATTTTCCCTCCTTTTTTTTTTTTCTCTTGTCCAGTCTTAAAGTCAGAGCCAAGATGAAGCCAAACTGAGGGTGTGATGGTGGCTCTGCTCTGAGCTTCCTGTTGCCCCACCAGAGCAACTCTCCCAGCACAGGGACAGTGAGAGATTGGCACATCATGGAACAGGTGCTATAGAAACCACACAGTTCTTAGAAGCAAAAGATTCCTCACCCCTCCCCATCAAAAAATAACCCACTTAGTTCACATATTTTCTCTCTATACTGTATATATATTATATATAGACACAATTCTCTGGTAAACATTTACAAGATATCGTAAATAACATTGAAAATTTCTATTTCCATTTGCACAACAGCGCGCACTCACACGCCAGCACACAAGGACACACAGTCAGGTACAACCAATAAATAAATACATTTTTTCTCCCCCCCAGAAATTATTCAAAAAAACACTGCTATTGAGCGGCCCAAAGACACTCTCAGTAAATACAGACAGCAAATATTGTGCAGAATTTCTTGGCTGTTTTTGTTTAAAAACCAAGGAAAGAAGCTTGAAAGGTTTAGTGTCAGCAACGTTGCTCGTCAGGTGGTGTTTAAGGTGACCTGCAGGTGGAAGGGGAGAACAGAGCCCTTCCCTTTCCCTCTAGACAGGTGACAGATCGGTCCTAGAACCCAGAGGGAACAGGAGCAGCCTGGGAAGGAGGGAGGACATGAGCTTTTCACTCTGCTTGGTGGAAAGATGAAAGATTCTCACAGGAACTGGCAGATGTCAAGCTCTTTTTTTCCTGTGCTACTGCAGCCCAGCACACTTTGAGGTTTTACTGCTTCAGGGAATTCCCAGATTGTTGGGATTAATAGGAGTGAAGAGCTTCCCATTGCTCTCCTCCTGCCCCAGCCCTTCCCTGTAGGGTTCAGGATGTGCCACTGCCTTTTCCAGCTGTGACCCCCATGTCCCAGAGCACAGAAATTGCTGATTTGGTCACTCCACCACGCTGCCCAGACCTTCCCTGCAGCAGCAGTTTTCACCTGTGCAGACTGACAGCCACCTTTTTCCTGCCAGCAACATCTGACACGAGCCAGCACAAACCAGCACAGACAGATGTTCCACGGGAGGAGGAACTTTTTTTTCCTTTTCCCCCCTGTGGCAAGGCAGGAGCAGGGCCAGAGAAGAGCACACACACAGCACACACTGCACCAGGGGGGAACACAAATGTTTGCAGCAAAACTCGAGAGAAAAGTACCCTCAGAGAGAGCTCCAGCCCAGCACCTCCAGCACTGCTCTCCCCAGCTGGGCTGGACCCTCCATCCACCCACCCCTCTCCTCTTCCTGTATTGTTTTTACCTGAGTTGAAAAATGACTCCGAAGCCTCTGCAGGGCAGCCTGTGTGGGACACAGCAGCTGGAGAGGCACTTCATGCAGTGGGCTCCAGGCTGTGCAGGAAAAGTGGCCACACAAGTGCATCTTCCCAAAGCAAAGCCCACTCAGGGACCTTGGGCTATTTTCCTCTCACAGGCCTGTGGGAAAAGCCCACCAAGACCTAACTGGAAATGCTCAGTGGGTTTAGGGGACTCAACAGCCAGTCCTGAAGCTGTCAGAGGGAAAGTCAGGATAAATCAGGAGCTCTGACTTGTCTTCTGAGGAGCCCTTCCCTCACAAGAGCTCAGAGGAACAATAAGAGACCAGACTCCTACCACAAGCAGCTAAAGTAAGGCAGGTAAGAAAACCTCCAGCCTGGAGTTCCCAGAGGAGGTCAGGACCAGATTTCCCAGCGTTCAGAGAACATTACACTGAAAAATAACCCCAATGCTGAATTTGGAGCTGTTCTGAAAATCCATCCAGAAACTAATCTCTTGTGTGCTCAGATATTGTAGGAACACTGTAAAATCCCAGGGAGAAAACAGAGCCCTAAAGAAAGAAAATACTGAAGGGGAAGCAATGCATTGAGGGACAAGATCAAAAGAGGAATTTCTGTGATCAAAGTCCCCCCTTTTACTGGCAGAACCTCGTTGTGTTGGTGAGAAGCTGAGAACTGGCAGCATCCCTGTGCTGCCTGCCTTCCCACACCACAGGGAAGGGTTGCAGCCTTCCAAGGAATCAGCTTTCCCTCTGTGCCACCAAGCTCTGCTCCCCCAGCCCCCGAGCTGTGCCCTGGGACGTGGCAGTGCCTGGGCAGTTTTGGTGGCCACGGCAGCTGCTCCGAGGCCAGGAAGCCACTGCCTGGTGCTGCTCCCAGCACAGGAACACACCTGGAGGGATCTTTGGTTGAGTCACTGCAGAAGGTCTGAGCCAGGGCCTGTGCTGAGCCCAGGGGACTCCCAGCTCACGTAGCAGCACGTGTCCCACCACCTGAGTCCCACAGGTGTGGCACTTGGAGAAACAGGAGAAGGGAGGGGAGTCCTGGCTCTGTGGGTGCCTCATCTGCCCCGGCTCCTTCATTTGTTCTCGATCAGAGTCTGCACTTTATAGACCAGGTCCCGAGCCAGCTTCAGGATCTGCTTGGTGTTGTGGCGCTCGGCCATTTCTGCAACACAGAGCAGACAGCTCAGAGCAGAGCAGCCCACAGCTCTGCTGCCCACATTCCCAACCTCCCCTGGCTCTGGAGAGCATCCTTAACCAGCTCCCAGGATGGGAAAACCACAGCCCAAACCTCAGCTCCCACCAACACATCCAGGTTGGCCATTGCTGAGGAGGGCAGGTGGATTCCAGCCCCACCAGATCCCTCAGAGCTCTGGGTGTTAAACATTCCCACACCTGAGCAGCTGCCCCAAACTCAGCCCAACAGAGCACGAGCCGTACCATTGAAAAACTTGATGATGTCTGTAAAATCCATGTTGTTCTCCAGGATGATGTCCCGGTACATCTCCACCAGGGCCAGGGCTATGAAGAGCACGTAGTGAGCAGAGGAGACATGAGCAGCAGCCCAGATGGTCTCCCAGACAGCAAAGACGTCGTCATACACCAGCTCTGTGAGCAGAGAACAGCAGTTAGCACTCCACTCACCCCACCCTGGCTCACAGAGCTCACAGCAGCACTGGGGAGACACTCTGGGTGCTTCCTTCCCACAGGAACCTGCTCCAGCTGGAAGCAATACATCAGTCATCTGTAAGGAGAAATATTCTGCCCGGCAGCAGGTGACACAGGCCCCAGGACACACTCATGGAGAGGCTCAGCAGCAGCTCTGGAACAACAGGTTCTGTATCCAGACAGAACATTCAGCCAGACATAAACCAGGGAAAAGTGAAAAGGAATTAAAAATAAGTTTAAACCTGCTGTGAGGCCTGGAAGCAGACCTTGCCCTACCCTTGGGTGGTCTCAGCACACACCTCTCTTGAAGTCCAGGAGAAACCATCGGTAGCAGAAGTAGAAATGAGTGTAATCCCCATTCTGGTGCATCAGCTCGAAGAGCTCAGAGTCCAGAATCTGTCAAGAAAAGCAAAAGGAAACTCAGGGATGCACACATAAAGCACCAGCCATCCCTCTGCCTATTTCCCTTCATCCCACTGCTCTCCTACTGCACCAGCTCTCCTTTCCTGGCACACACTGCTCCAGGCTATTCCTTAGAGCCCCTGCTGTCCCTCCTGCTGCCCCAACACTGAACCCCCCCCTCAGCACACCCAGGACCAGCTTTCCCCCTTGGGTGTGAGGAGCTGCCATCCCCATGCCAGGAACGCTCACCTGGATCAGCGACCTCATGTTGGCAAAGTGGGTGTCCATGGCTCCTCCGTGGGGGAAGTTCTGGTTCATCCTCTTCATCAGCTCGGTGAAGCAGCTGAAAGCCAGAGCCTCTGTGCAGGGAGGAGAGACATCACTGCAGGGCTGCACAGCCACTGCTGCTCCTGCAGCAGCAATGCCCCTCCAGAAAGTCCAGCCTGGCTCCAGGGTGGGCTCCTGGGAGCCAGGCAGCATCACAGACAAACGGGATCCTGCTCCACACCTCCAGACACTCCACTGCAAAGGGCCACCACCCACCTGGCACATCCCCACACAGGGACAGGGAAAGCAGAGCAGAGCCACTCACCATCATCCAGGATGACCAGGAGAGGGGCCAGCAGGTCACACATCCCCTGCACGTAGCCAATCTCAATGTGCTGCCAGATGTAGCTGTGTGAGAGAGCAGGAGAGGTGACCTGGGACCTGAGTGCCACCACCTGTCACTTCCTTTGCCCCTGCCCTGTCTCCCTTCCCAGGATGCTGGGGTAAATCTGTTTATTCTGTTACCCCTGTTCTGCAAATGATGAAATTCTTGTGGTGCCTCCCAGGTAAGGCATGGATGGCACAGTCCTGGATCAACACCCTGCCATGGCCACATCCAGGGTCAGCCCAGGGCTGTGCCATGGCCATTGCAGGGAAAATCAGCACAGGGAAAAGCAAAATGAGAAAGGGCAGCACAGTGGGTTCATTGCTTAAAGGGCAGAGACTGATAAAAGTTGTTCATCTCTCATTCTCATCCTTCTCCCTCCATTCATCCCCGTGGTTCTCTCTGCAGACACTGCCTCCCCTTCCCCTTCCCAGTGTCCCAGGGAGCACCCAGCCCAGCAGGGATATCTTCCCTTTTTTGGTAGCACGGCAAAATGTGTTCAGAGAGGACTCAGATTTGCTGCTGGCACAAAAGAAGGATCTTTTCCATCCTGCCCACTGGTTTTCCAAAATGTCTAATCTCAGCAGAGATCTCCAGCTCTGGCTGTCGGGTGAAGTGACAGCACTGATGGAACAGCAGCTTCTCCTCATGTTTGCAAGATGAGTAATAATATTTTAGCCTTTGCTGCCTGCGTAGCAGCAGCTGAGCTGGAGCTGGTCTGAGCCTCTTGAGTGTCACTAGGCAAGCTCAGAGTCACGGGGACTCAGAAATGCATCCAGGTCTGGCTCCCTCCTGGGATTTTGGGCAGGCACAAACCATTCCAGTGCTTCAGGCACATTCTCATTATCACTACAGCTCTGTGGGCTGATCCTCATTAAAACATTTGCCAGGTGGGCTGCACTGCTTCCTGGCCAAAACCCCAGGACACAGGGGAAGGACAGCCGGACACCTCAGTCAGGGCACTGCCACGTTCTTGGAGCTGTGGCCCCAGTGCTGGGGTGATGAGGGGAGGAAGGCAAGGAGCAAAACTCCATAACCACAACACAGTTTGAGGCTCCAGCCTGCAGGTGAATCCCAGAAGGCCCCCAGAGCCCCCACCTGCACATGACGTTGCGGAGCTTCTCCAGGTTGGCGGGGGTGAAGTACCAGTAGTTGCGGTCACAGCGCTGCACGTCCTTCTCGATGCGGTGCAGGTTCACCGTGTACATGTCCAGCAGCTCTGGCTGCCCAAAACAAGAGCAGAGTTGATTTGTTTTCCAGTAAAAAGCAGGGAGAGAGATGCAAGGGCAGTGGAGCAACAGGGCAGAGTTTGGGTGGAAGGTGGGACCCTCTATGCCCAGCTGTGGGATCAGTACTGGGTAAATGCAGGTAAATCCACTCAGCCCCAGTGAGGCACATCTGGAGTGTGGTGTTCAGTTCTGGGCTCCACAGCTCAAGAAAGACAAGGAGCTGCCAGAGAGATTATTTGGAGTCTGAAGTATCTCTCTGATGAGGAGAGACCGCGGGAGTTGGGCCTGGTCAGTCTAGAGAAGACTGAGAGGAAATCTCATCAATCCATACAAACAAATCACGTGCCAAAAGGAGAGTGCCAGACTCTTTTCAGTGGTGCTGAGTGACAGCACAAGGAGCAATGGCCATAAACTGAAACAAAACAACATGAGGAAAAACTTCTTCCCATGCAGAGTGGCAGCTGCCCAGGGAGTGCAGGGAATCTCCCTCTCTGGAGACATCCCAAACTCACCTGGACAGGGTTGGACTGGATGATCCCAGAGGGCCCTTCCCAGCCCAGCTGCTCTGTGGGGCTGTGAGGCAGCCAGGAAGGAACCCCCCCATGCCAGGTCTGTACTTACAGAGTAGGTGACACCCGTGGAGGAGAGAGCAGCTGGTTCACTGCTGGTCAGATCAGTCACAGTCAGAGAGTCCAGCTGTGGGTACAGACTCTCCATCTCTGGCTCCTCAGAGAGGTTGTCCTCACTCTCCACCAGGCTCTGCTTCTCCGCCTCGCTGTCTGCCCAGCTCTCCACCACAGTCAGGGCCACAGCGTCACCGTCACGCAGGAGCCCCGCCGAGCCCGAGCCCATGGGGACAAAATCCACGCTTCCACCAGTGGGGAATTCACCTTCCAGGCTGTCTTGGCCCTGCAGCTTCTCCTGCTGGACACCGTCCGTGTCTGGCGGGGCGGGCACGTCAGACCCAGCAGCCTTTCCCTGGGAGCTGGATGAGGATTTGGTGGTTTCCAGGGCACTGTCCTCGTTGCTGAAGCTGCGCTCCGAGAACCCCGATGTGATGGAGAAGTTCTGGGAAGAGGGGTGCCCAGAATCAGGGGAGCACGTGCCATTGGGGACTGTCCCATTAGGGATCTTGCTTTGTTTGCCATCTTCCAGCTGAGAATCTACTTCAGTCTGCTCCACCTCATCCACAGATTCAAACACCTGCAAAGAGGGAAGACATCCCAGGCATTCAGCAAGTGTTGGGAACATTTGCACTACATCCCCAAGAGCTGTGTACTCATAATGCCCATTATCCCAGCAGTGGAGAGGGAGGAAAATCCCCCTTTAGCTTCTTCTGCCTGGATTTGAGTCATTTGCACAACTCCAAGCCCACAAATCCCTGCTACAAAGGACTATGCTTTGCTTGGCATTATATACTGGGTAGAAATTTCAACTGGCCATGAACACAGGGAGGAGCCATGGGCCTTCAGGTGTGAGGCCAGAGCTGCCAGGTGAACATTGAACAGCCCAAGCAGAGCACAGTTCTGACATTAGCAGCTCCAAAGAAGGCTGGGGACTCATTTACTTGTTCCAACACTGCTTCTGTTTGCCAGAAATCGCTGTGCTTGTGGTGAAGGGTCGGCCCAAGCCAAGGCAGAGCCGTGGGGACAAGGAATGGAGGGACAAGGTGCTCACCTGGGTGCTGGAGCTGGAGTCGCTCTGCAGCCGGGCGTGGTTCTGCCGGCCGGAGCTGCAGCTCTGCGAGGACTGCAGGGGACAGGCAAAAGTGAGAAAGAAAAGAAAAGCAAAGGGGTCAGGGTGAGGGAACTCAAGCAGAGGTGGCACTTCTGTGGGTGAAGAACAAACAGAAAATGCATCCAGTAAATATCTGATCCATGGAGGGCGTGATTGTCACATCGGTGCTGCTGCATCACCCAGCACAGTGCACTGCCTCAGCCCCTGACACTGCTGGGAGGGTGACAAAGCCAAAGCTTTGCCAGGTTCAAGTGCTGTGTGTTGGGCCTGAAGGAGCTGCTTTCCTCTGGCCTGCACGGAGGTCACACTGCCTCCCTGGAGTGAGAATTTCTACAAATCTCTGTCCTAATTTGGCAGCAATGCAGCTCAGCCCAGCTCAGTTTACATAAACGATGAAGTCAGGCTATAAAACAGTCCCTCCAAGCATATTCATGCTTTTTTCCTTTTCCTCAAGGACAAATATTGATGCTTTAAGCCAGACTCGGTGGAAGCAGCTCCTCTCAAAGTCACGAGCACCCTGTTCTGGCTTCCAGATGAAGCACAGAGGGAAGGGCTGGGCTTTGCTCCGTGGGTCCCTCTGAACAACCAGCCCACAATGAGAGCGAGTCCTCCCCATTAGCTGAGCAGAGGTGCAGAGCGTGGCCATGACATCACACACAAACAATAGGATTTTAAGAAAATGCAGCACATTCAGAACAGCAGCTGTCCCCACCCTTGTATTGTGGGTGTTTGCTGGGCAAGGCTCTGGTGGGGAAAGGAAGGGCGACAGTTTTCCTCCATTACCATGGGAGCACTTAAAACAGGAAATTTCAGGTTGAGATGGAAAAAGGGGGGAACTTTGCGTGTGTTCACTCTGCCAGCTCCTTTCCCAGTGCCTGTTCCCAGAACAGACACACGTGGGTCCAAAGGAAGAGCCACGGTGGAGATGCTGAGGGGATGGGAATGATTCCCAGGGCTTCAGCCAATGGAGCTGCTCACCCTGAGAGCTGCACCATCCAGTTCCACCCTGCCCCTGGCTAAGCTCATTTCTTTCCAAAAGCACTCACATAACCTTCCCAGAGGGAAGCAGATCAAACCTCCAGCGCTCACCTCCCCTCTGGGCCAGCAGCCTGAGGTCAGGGAATGCTCTGCCATGCTGGGGTCTTCTCCTCCAAGGACAAAACTCTCATGGAAACACTCCCTGGACTCTGTTCCCAGGACTGCCTTTCCTTTCACAGGCTTTTCCCTCCACACCCTTTGGTTCAGGCTGTGGATATCATTCCTCACTGCATTGCTAAAAACCAGTCCCCAGGTGCTGTGGATGAGGGTGTGCTTTGGCTTCCTCCACGCTGGAAAAAGAAACCAGGAAGCCCAGTGCCCTGCTTCACAGCCCCTTAGTGCCAGGAACATGCTCTTCCTCCTCACCCCTACTTCAAAGCATCTTCCATGCCCCCAGGAGTGCATCAGGTAATGAGCATTTCACTTCCACAGAACACAGAGAGGAACAAGGCACACAGGTGGGCACAGGAGGAGGCTGGACAGGACCTGTGTCTCCACCCCACACAGACTCTGGCTGGGCACTGCCCAAGCCCTCACCTCGTTGCTGATGGTGGAGTCCCTGTGCATCATCCTCTGGATGTGGGAGTCCAGGCTGGCCCCCGAGGAGCACTTGGCCAGGGCCGCGGCGTGCGACTCCTTCTCGCGCTGCCGGACGATGGCCTCGCAGCCCAGCCACTCTGCCATGGTGTGCTCGTAGCACGCCCGGGTCTGCTCGTCAGCCTGGGACACGAGGGGACAGGGGCTGGCAATGGCTGTCCCTGCAGAGCCCCAAACCAGCCCCAGCTGTGCCCCGCACAGGGCGGCGCACGTTTGTGTGAACTGTGGCTCGTGGGACACAGCCACCATTACCCTGCAGAAAAATTTCGGATGGAAAAACGCCCATCCATCTCCTCCCTGCCCTCCCAAGGTGCACAAGGCACTGCACATGAGGAGCTGCACAGGCCAGCAGCTGTGATGGCTGCTGATCCAAGGGTTTGCCCACTCCTACCTACAGCCCAGTGCAGAGTGGACATGTGGGCTCACTGGGCAGCACCAGGGCACACCAGTGAGCACAGCACACCCTCACCAACCTCCTTCCTCTCCGCCTCTGTCATCCCAAACTGGTAATGGCCCAGCAGGAAGGGCCACACAGCTTTCCTGATCTCGTGCTGGATCCCGCCGTAGTAGATCAGCCGCAGCAGCTCCTGGTCCTCGTAACTCTGTGGGAAGAGCCTGGGTCAGGGCACAGACACAGCCAGGATGTATGGGTGTCCCCAGCCTGGCTGTGACACCCATCAGCACCCCAGCTGATGCCTCAGGTTTTAGCTTTTATATTTTTCACATTCTGTGCTGCTTTGGTGTGTAGTTCTGAGCTTCATATTAGGGGATGGTGAGCTCTTCACAGAGCAGGGAGACAAAACAATTCCTTCTCTAACTGGGGACCAGGCCCAAGAGCACAAACAACGTGGGCTGGAGAGAGAAAAATAAGCAGAATGGGACTTCATAAGCTAAATCTATAAGTGGACAATTAACTCCAGTATGCAAATGCACCAGAACTTATAAAAGTGACCCCGTGACAGGTTGTGCATTTTGTGACCATTTTGGTTCATCTTGGGTGCAGCCCTGGCTGGGCTCTGGTGCTGCCTAAGGTGGATCCATTGAGGCCTTCTAATAAATACCTACTTCATTCTTTATCTCTTTCTAGTCTCTGTGTTAGAGATTCCCCAGCCCCACTGCCCATGATCCCTCAGACCCCTGCCTGGGCTTAAGTAGAGCCAGAGGCTGTGGGTGGACATTTCGGTTCTCCACACCAAAGAGTGGCCACCAAAGTCACCAAGGGCCACTGCTGTGCCTCTGAGCTGGCAGCACCCCACTCAGGACAGCAGAACTTGGGTGACAGACACTGCTGCAGGCAGGCTCTGAGCAGAAGCACTTGAAGAAGAGCAGTGCTCACTCCTCAGCTCTCACATGCCAAGGATGAGGAGCCTCAGGCTGTGCGCAGCCTGGGACAGCCTGGCTGACTTCCCTCCTTGAGGAACTTCTGGATGTGTTTCACCACCTCCCTCCCCGTGCCACACCCGCTTCAGCGACGCTGCCCTGGGCTCCCCGAGCCCAGCAGAGCTGGTGTGTCCCCAGGGATGGCCCTACCGAGCTGTCCTGCAGGTATCTGTGCCAGATGTCCACGGTCAGCCCCTCGCTGGCGCTGCAGGGCACGTCGGGGGACACGATGCTGTGGTTCACCAGCGCCGACAGGTGCGTCCTCACCGTGGACAGGTGCCTGCAGTAGGCCAACCCTGCAGCAGGAACAACACACCTTCAGCTCTGCAACTCCGGGAAACACGAGGATGAAGAGCAGCAGAACAATCTGGTGGGGTTGTATCAGAGTCCAGGACTGTGGGAATCCAGGGCTTCCCTCTGGCTGCCCTGGCAGGTCTGGGACCCTGGCAGGGGTCAGGAACCCCCCTGGACAGAGCCCCCAGAGACACTGTCTGTGATCTCTGTCCATGGAAAAGAGTTTTCAATCTTACAGGATGAATTACAAGCTTTGAGTGTTTGATAAGAGTAATAATTAAGTGTGACACGGGTGCAAAAGTAGAATTTTAAGTTTCTAGATTAGGGGTTCAGAGGGGACAAGATGGAGGAATTGGGTGTGCCTTGTCCTCTTTCTCCTTCTTCATGCCCTCCATGTTTCACTGTAGTGTTGGCATTTTTCTATTGGTTTAGGCTGGGGACACACTGTCCAACGTAGGTGACAGATATTGGCACGTTATTGTAAATCCAGCACAGGTAGTTTCTGGTATTTAATGTTTGTAACATCCCACTGAGGGCAGAGCCCCACACGCTGCCCTGCAGGACAGAGCTGCGGCAGGGCAGCAGAACATGTTAGAGATAAACAGAATAAACAACCTTGAAACAGCACAGACCAATTATGGCTTCTTCTTTGGCAGCGGGGCAGAAAGACAGAGACTTTCTACAATCTCGGAATCACCAATACCCACAGATTCTGACACAGGACATCTCTCTGGCTGCCCTGGATGTCTCCAGACCCTGGCAGGGGTTCAGAGACCTTGGCAAGAAGTCAAAAACACCTGTGGCTTCTATTTTAGCCTGTGGGAGAGGCTGCCAACTCTGTATGAGGAATTACAAGCCACAAGGGTTTGAGTAGTGTAATAGGGGAATTGACACAGGCTGGAAAAAGTAGAATTTTAGGGGTTTTAGAATGTAATTCAGGGGTACAAGATGGAGGAATTTGTGCATGTCCTAGCCTTCTTTCCTTTCTTTTTGTCCTCCATGTCTTGGTGTGATGGTGACACTTTTCTATTGGTTTAGGCTAGGGACACACTGTCCAACATAGATGTCAGATACTGGTGCATTGTTATAAACAGACTATATGTAAATTTTAATATAAAAGGTAAACACCACCCAGAGGGTACACCAGACTGCACTAGTGCACTTCTGCACTAGGCAGACCTCAGCAGGTCAGAGAGAAAATATTATAGATGAGGAGAAATAAACAACCTTGAAAAAAACTTGACTTCTTGTATTCCAGACCTCTTCCTCAGCTGCTGGGCTAGGGGAACAAGGACTTTCACACTGTTGGGGTCTCACCAGCTGACCCTGAGAGGGCTGGGCCCTGGGGGAGACTCCCTGTAGCCACATCCACCCTCAGAGCAGGGAGTCTATTGGGACAGGTCGCTCATCTCGTCAAGGCTGAGAGGCAGAGCCCAGCTTTTGCTCCCCACCCTGAGCACGTGAAGCAGGCTGGTCCCAGCTCCCCCAGCCACTGCCAGCTGCCCCAGCACCACTCCCAGCCCAGAGACCAGGACATCACCCTTTATCCTGCCACACATCCCAGGGCAGCAGGGGGGTGACAAGTACTCACATCCATAGAAAGCCCGGGACAGGATCTGGTACTTCATGTTGTCACATAACAGCTTCAGCGGGGCTCTGCCAACAAAAACACACAGGATGTGAGGGCAGAAAATACTCCTGTGCATCCCCTCAGCCTGGCTTTGATCCCCCTGACCCAGCTTTGCCAGCAGAGATTCACCAGGAACGCTGCCTGGGTTCAGAGCAGCAATTCCTGCTGCCAGGTTATGGGGCAGCTGAGATGTCCCAGATGCAGGGACAAGCCTCACCTCAGACACATCCCACTGAGCCTGCCATGGTTCCTGGGCACTGAGCCCTGGCCCTGCTGTGCCCCTGTGCCCTCGTACCTCTCGTGGCTGCAGCCGTTGGCCGGGCCCCCGTCGGAGGAGCCGCTCTGGGAGCAGGAGGAGCAGGAGGATTTGCGGGTGCTGGGCTGCCACATGGGGGGCAGGACAGCCCCCGGAGCGTCCATCAGGTCCTGGGGCACTGCAGGAGGGCAGAGAGGAGCATCAGCTACAGCCTGGCACTGCCCTGCAGTCAGGGAGCTACAGGGACCCAACAGAGAGAGAGCTTTCACTGGCAAATGCAGCATCCTGCTCTTCCCAAGGAGGCTCCAGCACCAAGCACAGGGAATCACAGCACTGGTGAGCTCAGGAGAAAGGAAGGGCACAAAGAGCACTGATGAGAGAGAACCATTGCTGATTAACCAGCTAATTCAGAAAGCTGATCTTAAACTGCTTCGTGCTGACCAAGGCAGAAACCCAACACCAAGGCTCCAGAGAGAAAACATGATTGAAATCAGCTGCTGTCCCAGGAAGAGTGGATTACTGCAAGGGAAAAGGCCCATCCCTCAAAGGATGCCATCCAAAGTTCAGGGAAAGAAGGGAGCATCCAAATCACAAGACAGGAGATGAAGACTTGGATGAAGAGGTTGAGAGGCACAGCAGGAGCTCTGCATGTTGTCACTTGTTAATCCCTGCTTAAACTCAAATTGCTACTGCAAAGGCCTCGGGTTCTGCTCAGGTACCACCCACACACAGCCCAGGCCACGAGGAATAATCCTCTTTACTCCTCCTTGGAAATTTAATTGTGGTAGAAGTTTCATCTTCTGGCTGGGCAAAGGTCTCCTCGCTCTCCCTTGGTCTCAGTGGCTCTCCCTGCTTGTGATGAGGAATAAATGACATTGGCAGGAAAAATACTGAATTATTCCCACAGAAGTCCCTTCCCCTCCCACTGAGCATGGGTCAGTGACAGTCAGTGGTGACAGGGCCAGCTCTGCAGGAGCTCTCAAGTGACAACACAGGCGAGCTGAGCACCAGACCCAACCAACAGCTCATTACACTGATGCCAAGAGGTGCCCAGAGCAGCACGGAGAGCTCGGGATCTGCCAGGGAGACTCAGGCACCATTTAGGGATCACCACCATCTTGCTTCCAGCTGGAATCTTCATGATCTTCCCTCTCCCAGCAGTCACAGGTGCAAGGAATGGGTGAAAAGCACCATTAATGGCAACTAGAGACACAGAGAGAGGACAAAGGCACCAATGAAAGGGGAGAAAGGAAGAATCTGTGGAGAAGAGAGAATGATGCAGTTCCACCCCTGGCTGAGGAGGTGCACAGGAACAGCACAAGCTGTGATGATGCCAGCTGAGGAGGTGGCAGCAATTCATTTCCCAGAAAATGTGGCCCCCAGCATGGAATTTTAAGGGGTAGATCAAAAAGCAGCCACAGAAAGGCACATCTTTATCTGCTGTTTTAGCTTCAATCAGGTTTTTATCTGACTCACTGAATTGTGTTAGTCAGCTGAAGGCAGGGAGAACCAAGTATAATCTCAACTGACGTTATGGAGGAGTCACAGCGGATGTAATTTCTCCCTCATAGCCTCCAAAATGTAGGGAAAAGGTTTCCATCCGATTTCAGAGCTTTTCTAAAGAACACTCCACAAGTCTTCCATCTAAAACTCATGCTCTCCCCCTTCTAAAGTCACCTATGATATCTCCAGAAGTCGGGAAACAGTTCTTGGCTTCTCACAGAAGAGTGAGGACACGTGTACAGACATTTCAGCCAGGTTCAGCTCATTCACCACCAGACATGAAGAGGCATTTCTGGTTTGGAGAATCCAGCAGCATCCCCTCCCTCGAGTTAGGGACTGAAGACAGAGCAGGGTGCTGGGACCTCCCCTTTGGCTGCAGGAGCATCACTGGATTTAGTGCAGCAAGAGAAGAATCAGCCCTGGGGGCTTGTGACAGCAAAAGGTGGCCCCCAAGTGACCAAAGTGAATCTTTTTACTAGAATTATGTGAGTATTACTAAGAGGGGTTTTTGCTGACCATTAACACTGTTGTGCAGCTGCAGAAACAAAGGACTGGGTAGCAAGTGGAAGTTAAAACAAAACAAACAAAAAAACCCTAACAAAAACAAAACAAAACTACAAAAAAAACCCCACAAAACACAAAACATAGAATCATGGAATGATTGGGTTGGAAGGGAATTCAGAGATCATTTAGTTCCACCCCTTGCCATGGGCAGGGACACCTTCCATGATCCCAGGTTGCTCCAAGTCCCGTCCAGCCTGGCCTTGGACCTTCCCAGGGATGGGGCAGCCACATCTGGCTGTTCTCTGTGCCAGGGAGGAATGATGTTCTCCCTCCCAGGGAGGAATGATGACATTTAAATCAGGCAGCACTGGCACAACCAGCAACCAGAGCCCCTCCCCTGGAACCACCTCCCAGTTTGCCCCGTGCCCATCAGCACCGTGTCCCAGCTGCTCCAACCCCCCCAAAGCCTGCCCTGCACTCACCAAACTCCATCTGTGTCCCGGGGTAGATGATCCTGAAGACATAATCCGTGGCTTCGTCATCTTCCTTGTCAGATGCAGACTCAGAGGAGCCCTGGGGGCTTCGCTTCTTCAGTTTGGGGAACACCTTTCCCTGGGGAGCAGGACCTGCCCTTCACGAGCCACCCATGTCCAACCACTCCCTTCCCGAGCTCCTGCCCCACCTGCTTTGCCATGTCTGCACATTCCCTGGGCTGCAGCAGCCCCTGGATCAAGTTTCCAGTGGCAGGTGAATCCATAACCCTGCTGGGCACAGGGTAAGTACAGCCCAGAGAGCCAAACCCTCATGGGCAGCCCTCCCATAGCACCCCCCCGAGCTTTCCAGAAGGGTCTGTATGGCTGAGCAAGGCCATTAGCTAAACCCCACCACCAGATTTTAATATTAATTAATTGAATTCATTCATTTTGGGAGGGGATCATTTAAAACACAGCAGCCACTAATGCCAGGCAGAGCATCCACAGGGGAGCCCCAGCAGGAGCAGGCACCCACCTTTCCCCGCTGTGACCAGAGGGGTGGATCCAGCTGCCCGTGGGGCAGGAGGCCGTTCTCCAGGCAGGACAGGAACTGCAGCAAGTGCCCTCCACGGGGGAAGCGCAGAGGTGGCCTCTGGATGCCATCCTGGCTCACCAGGACAACCGTGCCACCGCTGTCTACTGTTGGCAACAGCAAGAGCAGACACGGCCATCAGTGAGGGAAACAGCACAGGCTGAGAGGCAGGAGAGCTCAGGGAATGGAAAATAAGGACTTTCTTCCTTGTGGGGATTCTCCTCCATGAAAAGACAGGCTCTGGAAAAGGCTTGCTGGGATCACCCCTCTGGAAATCAGAGCCCTGCTCTGCAAGGAGCACTCCCAGCCAGTCTTTCCCAGGAGCTGGGGAAAGACTTTTCTAGAAGCACTGAAATCATAGTGGCCACCCAGAGCTCTGGGCATCTGCCCTGGAGCCAAAGCAAACAGTGTCCCAGAGGTGACACAGCCCCCAGCAGCCCCAGCTGTGCCTTACCCTGCTGGTGACAGTGCAGATACACGATCTCCTCCAGGCGAATGGTCATGGCATAGTCCCAGTACACGCTGGAACAGAGGGACAGGGAAGCCGTGAGCCTCAAGGGTGTGAGAGGCTCTGCTGCTGCTCACAGCAGCTCCAAACCCTGCTCCTGATCTCCTGGCAGCAGCCAAAGCCACAGAAAGGATGAGATTCCCAGAGCAGTGATGCCAGCCTGATGAGTGACAACATCCCTCCAGAACCAGGAACCAAGAATTGTCCTGCCACCTCAGCTCAGCCAGGGCCCGTCCTGCCCCGGGTGGTTTCTCTGCCCTCACGCTGTTCCCAAAAAAAGGAAAGGTGTCCATGGATCCTGGCAACTGCAGGGAGGGACTGGAGCCCTGCAGAGCACCCCAAGAATCCCTCAGGAGCAGCCCTGGAGACCCAAGGAAATGTGCAGTGAGGTCCAAGCCTGGGCTGCTGCTCTGCCCTGGGAGGGGAAATAAACCCTCACAATTTGTGGGGCTTTTCCCAACCTCACAACAGGTTTGGTCTCGGCTGCTTCTGTTCAAGAATTGTCTCAGCACAAGCACCTCGAGGTGTCTGAGCAATGCTGGAGAGCTGGTGGCCAGCAGACAGAGCAGAGAAGCAGAGTTTCATTCCTGTGGAGAGCCCAGCACTGCTGTCCAAGGGTGTCAGCACTCAATCACATCCCACTTCTTTGCAACAAAGCAAATTTCCAGATTCTGAGCAGCAGCAGCATCTGCCACTTCATAAAAATAGTGCTTAAATAACATTAAAAACAGCTCATGAAGGACATGAAGGTGTGCAAGAGTGACTCCTTGTACAGTCATACTTACTGTGCCATCTGCCTCCTCTCTTCCTTGGTCACGTCTTGACACTGGGAATTTTTAGAGCTTAGGCTGATGCCCAAGGCAAGAACTCAGAGAAGGAGTGTAGAGATGAAAGCAGATTTCAGGGGAGGGTACCAGGCACAACTGAATGGCCCAGGGGCCAAGAAGAAAGGGGAGATGAAAAACAAAACCCAAAAAACTACAACGGACAATGAACAAAATCGAGGCCGAGTTCTGCTGAAGATCTCTAGGTCAAAGCATCAGTGTCCTAAAATTTCTGGAGCCAGGAGAAACCCAGGAGCATGGTGTGCTGGGAGGGAGGGAGGGAATTCCCCTCAGAAAATCCCCCAGGGCAACAAATGAAACACTTTGTGTGTTTTGGAACAAGCCCCACTCCCTCAAGCACTTCCCAGCAGACCCACACCTCACACCACCTCCTGCCACCCTCTCCCTGCCTCCTTCCCATTACAGGCTCAAGGATGATGGCGTTTCCCTGGGAAAACAGTGATGGTTTTGCATCCCAGATCCAAACTCTGACCCAGGGGAACGCCTCCCCCTCCTGCTCTGGCACACTCAGAGCCAGTCACCTCTTCTCATAGTCCAGGTCGCCCACGGAGCCGTTCATCAGCTGGTTGGGGGTCCACTTCAGTGCCATGATGTCAGCAGTCTGGTGAAGGGACAGGTACCCCGGGATTGCCTCCATGTCATCTCGCTTGGGAAGAGAAACACAGCGACAGAGTGAGCTGGAAGATGCCAGAAGCACAACGCCCTGGAGCTCAGCCGTGGCCCTCTCACACAGCCCTGCCCACCCAGCCACAAACCCTGGGAAACCTCCTAGCAGAGACTCCAGGACACCTCAAGGCCTTGGGAAAAGGCTAAGAACAACTGCCCAGCAAGGAAAAATTAATAGCTCCACCTAAAAGCAGTTTGCATTTTATTTATTTGACTGCAAGAAGCAGCACGGGACAGGAGGAGGAGTTTTGTGGTAAAGAACAGGCAGGGAGAGGAGCAGAGCTCTTCCATCCCACTGGGAGGATCCATATCACCAAGACCTCCACTCACTGTCTTCCCAGATGAAAAAAGTGCTTTTCTCCATCCAAGAGCAATGTGGGACAGACCAAGGTGCTGAGGAGCAGAGCAGAGTTCCAAAGCCCAGGTTTCCCAGCAGGAACTCACCGGCTGCACCAGGACGTTGTTCTTGCCGTACAGGAGCGTGGCTCGGGAATTCTGGTGCAGGGACTCCACGTAGTCCCTGGCAGACAGGGATGGCCTGTCATCCATGCTGCCACTGGAATGTCTTTTCTGAATCTGCAAGAGATGCCCATGAACGTGAGGTGAGCACACACACCCTCTGGCTTCCCAAAAGCTCCTCTTCAACCTCATTCCCTCCTCACTTACCCACTTCTGAGAGAAACCACTAGAAACCTTTCCCTCAGGGTCCTCTAAGGGGATTTCTGACTCTGTCCAAGCTCAGAAGAGCCCCAGGAGTGAATTTTGTTAATGCACAGAGCAAATCCAGCTTTCTGTTCCTACATGATGGTCCCAAGGGACACAGAGCCTGGCATGCAGCGCCAGGAGGGGCTAGCACCCCAGGGCTCTCATGGGCCACGCTCCCACCACCTCTGCCTCAAAGACTTTGCTCATCAGAGGGCTCCACAGGCCTTTCCAAGCAAAGGGAGCCCAGATGCCGTGGATGTAGGAGGAGCAGAGAGAGGCTGATCCCCCACTCACGCAGAGAGCCGGGCGCTTGGTGGGCGAGTCCTGGCGGCAGTGGGAGCTGTGGATCCGGTGCCTCTGGACCAGCTCATCTGCAGAGGGGTCTGTCCAGAAGTGGTCAGCAGTCTTCATCTTGGTGTATTCCAGCGCACAGGGCCCCACTGTGGAGAGGAACACCCCAAACATAAGAGAGCCAGCCTTGACCCCACAGTCACCTCCTGAATCTGCAGATCACAGATTTGGGAGCATGGGTTTGGAAAGCAAAGAGGGAAAGCAAGTAAAGAAAGTGTTACCCAATAAAGATGCTAGAATTGGCCCATCCACAGGATCCATCAGGAGAGCTTCCTTCTCATAGTACTTACTAGAAGAAATAAAGGACAGCAGAACGATGGAGCACCGCAAAGTTATAGACAGTGGTTTAAATCCTTATCATGCCCTTCTCTTTCTGTATCTCCCCTTGATGGGGAGAGGGCAAGAAGCCCTAAACAGGCTGAGAAATTCCTGGGGAGCAGCAACCCTCCTGCAGCACACTGCAAGCATCACCATCTCCTAACTAACCTGTCCCAGAACAGGACACCTGAGCATGCAGATCCCAGAAGACAAAGACAACGCAACCCTGACAGCCCAGCCATCACCAGGGCCAGTGTGGCCTGTATTTTAGGGAGTGTGCAGCGTTCATCAGCAGCAGGGCATCCATCAGAGTCCCCACGATGGGCACTGAGTGACACACCTGGCCTGTGCCACCCTGGCCCAGGTGGACACCGGTGTTGCCCAGGCAGCAACACCCCCAGTGCCATGGACAGAACATGGGTGGGCTGTGCCAGTGCTCACCTGCTGTTCTCCACCAGGTAGTGCACGATTTTATCCAGGACCTTTTCGAAGAGGGCCGTGCGGATCCAGAGGTGCTTGATGGCCTGAGGGGACAGGTTGGGCAGCTTCGGCACCTTGCGCACGTTCTCCGGGACCCCCTGGGCTTGGTTCCGCCTTTAGAGGTACGAGACAAGAGACAACAACACCACAGGCTCACCCCTGAACTCTGAGGGAGCCCAGGGCACTCCTGGCACCAGGAGTTTGGGGGTGTTGACTATAGTGGCTGGGGGATTGCAGGGAATTAGCTCTGGAGGTGCTTCCTGTCCCTATCCCATCCCCTGCTCCCGAGGGGCCACACCTGCATTTGGAACCAGAGGTCACCAAATCATTTCTCTGCTGTAAAGACACCCCAGAACTCTGCTCTCCCTCAGCACAGTGCTCCAGCCCACACACTTTTCCACAGCTGAGCTCACAGGCAGAGCAGCTCATCTTAGGACAGCTTAAAATTCCTGCCCGCAGGTAGCTGCTCCATCCATCTCCCTGCTAATTGTCCAAGGATGAGTAATCCTCTCCCAGACAGCAGCTGAATTACTGCAGCTTTGAGTCCTGCACACTGAGGCCAAACGTGGTTCCAGGTGGATTGGTGAACTGGTCCATAAACTGTGACAGCTCAGGAGCAGTGTGCTCAGCTGTCCCTGAAGCACCAGAGCAGAGGCAGAGAGACTTAGAACTGCTTAAACCACAACTCAACCTCCCAGAACAGCAACCAGTTTGGTCAAGATACAAAAACCCAGGAGAAGACCGAAGGAGCAATTCCTCCCGTCGAGGCACAAGTTGGACCCAAACCACCCTTCCCACCCCAAAACTCGAGCGAGCAGAGAGGATTGGCAGCCCTGCTGGTGCCTTACGCGTTCTCAATGAGCTGCTCCAGGTCCTGCACCTTCCTGCAGAGCTCCTCTGCCAGGGGGAAGCTCTTGCCCACCTTCATGAAGAGCGCTGCGATCTTGTTGCTGCGCAGGAACCCGGCCGCCCTCCGCTTCAGCCCGAACAGCACACAGCATTCCACGGCGGCTGCAGAGAGCACAGGCCTCAGGATCAGGGTATTCCCACTTGGAAGGACCCACAGGGACCATCCAGCCCAGCTCTTTGAGGGACAGGCCCATCAGTGGAACACACTGTTGTTAGCACCACGCAATCTTGGCTTTAGTAGCACCATGCTCTGCCCAACAGAGCCAACCTCGGGGTCACTGGAGCACCTTCCCTATTGTCCTGGCTTGTAAGATAAGCATGTATTCTATTGCAATCTGTTGGAGATTGGACAGTTTTCTTATCTCTTCCAAGAACAATGTCTCCCTCCGGGGAGATATCTTCTGTTAATAAATTATTAAATAATTCACTACATGACCAGGAAAGTTCCATCATCCCATTGTGAGATGCTCCACCCAGAGGGAGGAGCCAAGCAACCCTACCTGCATAAAATCAGCACTTTTTGGGACACTGGTCAGCCACTTTGCTGGATTCCCAGAGAAGCAGCTTCTTCTCTGCTGAATTCCCAGAGGAAGACCAGGCCCGGCTACTACCAGACCTTCAGAGAAAACTCCACCCTTCTAGAGATCACTGCTTCAGCAGCATTTCATCTGCCGCTCCAGGAGGAGCAGCCACCATTTAACTGGACTACTACCAACACCCTGACTCCTTCCCAAAGCCCCCTGGGAGGCTCAGGATGGATGTCTAGTGCCAAACACAGACTGATTAAACAGGCTGATCAAAGCACTGGAAAATCACACGGCTCCACACTCCTCAGGCCCTTGATCCAGGTCTGACAAGAGTTCTGGTCCCTCCTCCCCGGGAAGCCAGCGCTGCTGAGCTGAGCCCGGATGCTGCTTCACCTCCTGCCTGGAAAGGCACACTTCCCTGCAGCTGAAACCTCCATGGAGACATGGAAAAAGGCATTCCATGCAGCCCCATCACAGCAGCTCCCAGGCTGGGAGAGGCTCATTATCCTGCCTCGTTCCATGCCTGAGCTCGGTGCCGAGCAGCAGCATCCGAGGGGAGATGAGACACGGCCTGTGCTGGCAGAGCAACAAGAGATTTGGGCCAGCCCAGCCCTGCTGACCCCCAGCAGCCAGGCAGAGCCACTGTATGGACATCTGGCTTTGAAAGCAGGCCCTGCACAAGCCCTCCCAAAGCCCACAGGGCTTCAGCTGCTCCAGGATTATGTGCAGCTGCAAATAAAACAAAACCCAAACTGCTCCACGGCTTTGCCAGAAAAGCCAGCATCTCTCTCATTTGTACTATGCTCCACGGCTGAAATACAAGTGACAAACAGCCTCACCTGCCTGGGACTGCACTGAGGGGTGCCGATTTGGAGTGCCCAGCTCAGGCTGGTGCTGAAAGCTCAGGTACCCACAGGGGGTACCTGCACTCCCAAAGCCACCAGTTCCATCCCAAATTCCCAGCTGAGAAACAGGAGCACGGGTGCTCTCACTGTGCTCAGGTCACAGGCAGCACACCCCAGCTCCTGCCAGGCAGGGAGAAATCTCAACTCCTGACAAGCCTCTGGCACAGAGCACCAAGACAGAGCTGCCAGCAGCATCTGCTCCCAATGCCAGATCTGAACCTGTGCAAAACACCTCTCCTGCTGGCCAGCTACAGGGAAACGTGCAGCTTCCACAGGAAAAAACTCTCCCTGTGCTCTACTAAATCCAGGGGTGATGGCAGGATTTTTGGACGAGCTTTGGAGCTCAGTTGTGTCACCGCTGCAAAGAGATTCTCCTCGTCCCTCAGGATATAACTCACAGCAGAGCCAGGACACACAGGATATCATCTACAGCAGATGCACATGGTGCAGCTACACCCAGGTAAAGGGGAGCTTTGACTCCTGGCAAAAGACTGAAGATATTCCTGAGCTCTGACACGATCCAAACCTCTCAGGCTGAGCAGCCTTGGCTGACGTGGACACCAAACCCTGGGCTCCCCATCAGCCTCCCAGGGTAGCCTGGATGTGACAGATGCCAGCTCGTGTTTGTCTGCTCCAAACCCCCCCCTCACAGCACCAGGGGGGCTGCTGCCCTTCCCTGCCAGACCCCTGCCTCCATCCCCAGGGCTCCGTGAGGAGGGCTCTGCTGGGAAAGCAGCTCTCTCCAGGGAAAAGGGCAGCTCTGGCAGCCAGAGCCAGGCTTGCAGCACGCTCTGCTTGGCAGGGAAAGAGGTTATTTATAAGCTCACCCAGCTCCTGGAGAGCCACAGCACTGGGGAGGGTGAAGGAAGCATTGCAGTGAGAGGAGCAGCAGATGGAGCAGGAGGGGAACACCAGGAACCAGGGAAATGCAGCAGCATCTTAAGAGGCCAGAAGGAACCAAGAGCCCTTCGTGCCTGGATGCCTCAGCCCCCTGTCACAGGAGCCTATAAATAATCCTAGTTTGAGGAGCCTGGTGCTGCACAGAAAAGCAGGGAATGAGTCACACCTGGAAGTTTCTGCTCTGCTCTGTCATCCCCACACGGGCCATGGGCTGGGAACAGGCTCCTGGGTGTCTCTGATGTGAGGGCCCAGCAGGAAAGGAGAAATCCCAGCCTCCTTTCCATCAAGTCCTATTCCAGAAAAGGTTTGGACTTGACAGACCTTCAGTTGGATCAGTTCTCGAGGGAATTTAAAAACAAAATATTGTTTCTAGTCCTTCCTCACTGGCTGCACACACTGCCAGCATCCCTCCCTCTTTTGGCACCTCCCTGTATATCTGAAGCACAAAGACCTCAGGGACTGTGACCTCTGCCAGAACAATCCATCCTCTGGCACTCCCCATTTCCCCAGCCCGAGGTCCTGGAGCATGTTCCCAGGAATGGCACAGCCAGGCAGGGGATGCACAACACCAAAATGCCCAGTCCAGGCCAGCATGGGAGACTCACCACAAAAGGAGATTATGTGGCTGCTGTCCTCATGCACAAACTTCCTCGTCACAGCCTCCTCCATGATCTGCTTCACCTGCAGGACAGAGAGAGTTAGGGAAAAAATGGAATTTCAGCCATGGGCCTGCGGTGGGGTGGGTGCACAGGAGCCTCCTCTGCTCCCAGGTTTTCCCAATGGCACAGGAGATCTCACGGAGGATTGATGCAGCTCTGCCTGCTGAGCATCACCAGCTACTTCAAAAAGGCATAAAAAAAGGGTTGTTTCATTTCTGAGAAACTTCACAGTAGGAAAACAATGAGCTGAGGATTAACAGAGGGAACTGAGCATCACTTAGATAAAAGTCATCTAATACAAGTACCCAAATCTCATATTTAATGTTTTTACAGCATTGTTCCATCCTCTCATTTTGTTGGACAAATTTCCTGTGACACAGCTGTCCCAAATGACTGCAACTCCCCATCAATTCCTAATTCAGCCATCACCTGGCAGCAGCTGTGCCCAGGAATTCCATTTGCAGGCAGTGCCAGCAGCTCTGCCCTCTCTGGCTCACGACTGGCACTCAGCTGACCCAGAGGAAGCTGTCACTTAGTGCTCCTCAGGGGCACGATTAGGGGACAAAAACAAATAGGACCCCACTCAAACTGGGAGGGGAATTGCTGCAGGGAGCAGACAGGAGGTCAGACCCAGCAGGTCAGGGCTGGCAGCAGAGTGGTGACTTCCATCCCAGCTGTCACTCTCCCTAATCCTGCTACAAGCAGCCAAAGCCCAGCTGAATCTTTGCTCCTTAAACATTCAGTTCCCAACCACTTTTCCTTTCAAGCACAGCTGCCAGCATGCCTGGATCTCTTCTTCCAGTGCCTCTGTAACATCTTGGTTTTGGAAAACACAGGGAAAGTGTTGCCAGCACAGAGCTGAGGGTGTGAGGGAAGCTCTGCTTAGCAAGGTGTTCTCCCTGAGGGCACAGGGAGGAGGGAAATACAGCAGGTCCAGACTTGGCCAAGCGAACCTTGGCATGAATGGGAGACCTTTAATGGCATCATTTGGGGAATTAAACTCCTCTGCAACGTATAATCAAGGGCAGTTATGCATGGCTGACAGCTCCATAAAGGCAATCCTGAGTATGGATTAAGAGCAGAGCGCTCTCTGAGCCAAGAGCTGCTCTGTCAGAGCCATCAGGTGAGACCCCAGCCCTGCTCAGTGACTGACAGAGCCCTGAGACTTCCCTGGATGCCAGCAGCTGGGATGAGCTGGTTCTGAGTCAGGAAGTCACAGGAAAGAACCTCACTGAGATGTGGAACTCATCACTGGGAAATTCCTCCAGGTCCAGCTCCTGCATCTTCCCCATCTCCCACATCCCAGCCCTGTGCTCAGAGCAGTGACTCCACCTGCAGGAGCACCTCAGGGGCCAGGATAAAGCTCCATCTTCCACCTCAGTGCTTTATTGTGTCCTAAAACTGCAGCTGTCCCTGGTGAGGGGACCTCCTGGAGCTCCTTCATTCCTCACCTCCCACCTGCAGCTTCCCCCTTGTCCCACGCAGGGCACAGGGAGGGGGCAGCTGCAATCCTCACTGAGGGCTCCTTGCTCCAGCACCATTTTATTTCACATTTCAGCAACAGAAACAGGGACAGAGCAAGAGGAGAGGAACCTCTGTCTCCCACCCATCCCCCAGCCTTGGCTGCAGGATGGATCAGGGATGGGGAGCAGCACACACACCTCGTGTGCACCAGCAGCCATGTGCTGCCCAGAGCTGCCCCTTTTCCTCCACCTGGAACATCCACCAGAGATATTCTGGCATCCTTCCCAGCCCAGGAGCCATCCCTGACCACCCCTGCTAGTGGAGGTTCACATCTTGGAGCCCTCAGGGATTCCCTGAAATTTGGCGGAGCCACCCTTGTCCAGATGGCTCCTGACCCTCACCCAGGCAGGCTGAGCTTCCCCTGTCAGCACACATCCACACCACTGACCTCCCAGAAAATGACCACACACAGATATTAAATGTACACTCATGGCTGCACTGGTGGTACCAGGATTTTACCCCCAAAATACACCTGAAAAATCAACGTGCAGAGTTATGTCTTCACCAGCTTCGGATTCAATCAGGAAAAATTCCAATATAAGCAGAATATTCAAATATTTGTTTGAAATTTCAGTGCCACAGGGCCTTCCCCAGGGCAGTGACCATCTGTCTGTCCAGGGCCTGGGGACCATCCAGGACAGCAGGACCCAGCTCTGAGTGGGCATTTCAGTGCCAACACTGCACACACCACCTGCACGCTCGAGGCACAAACAAAACACCTTCCAAGAGACACAGTTCAGTGGAAAATTACTCATTAAAAGTAAAAAAATAAAATTAAAAAAATTGCACTGCGTTGACTAAGGTTGTAACACTAAAAATAAATCAGGCCTAAAGGACTGGAAGTGGAAAAGGCAACAAGGGCACTCACCTGGTGTGTGACAAACACAAAGAGCAGCCCCAGCAGGGACAGGCCAGACAGACAGACAGACAGACATGGCCTCATAACACAAAACAAGGGATATCCTGGAATGGTTTGGGTGGGAAAGGACCTTAAAGCTCATCCCATTCCACCCCCTGCAGGGCAGGGACAGCTTCCACCAGCCCAGGCTGCTCCAAGCCCTGTCCAGCCTGGCCTTGGGCACTTCCAGGGAATAGAGCCAAGATCCCAACTTCCTCTACATACCAAGAAAGTTTTCCAACAAAACCACTTTACATTTGCCCAAACAGCACAGTTAGCGTCTGTAGGACAGCTCAGAGCCAGAGAAGCCCAAAACTCCTGACAGATCTCCCGTGCTGCTGTCCCAAAGGACTCTCCACAGCCAGCTGGGATCACCAGGACCACAGCTGGGATCTGCCAGGGGATTTGTGACACCCCTTGGCTCCCTCCACAGAGAAGACTCTGAATGTGCTGCATTTTGATGCTAATTCTCAGACTGTAGCCAGAACAATCCCAACAGATGAAGCTGCCCACTCTGGATCTCATGCCAGCCTAGGGAAATGAGATGTTTGCTCTCCTTTTATTAGAAAGGAAATTAAAACTGCAACTAATAATTTAGCTGTAGGTAAACTCGAGAGGAATATCAGCAAGTATTCCACAACAGCACAAACAGCCCCCCTGGCTCCAGCTGAGAGCACAGGACAAGTCCCCCTGGAAAGTGAAATCAAACCCTCACGTGTCCAACAACCCCAGGGAGGGATGAAGGATGAAGGCTTAGACCTCTCTGCCACAAAATTCCCAGGGATGTGCACCATCCAAAGTCCAGCTTTGCTATCACCCAGCCCTGCTGTCATTTACACTGCTGGAACAAGCCAAATATTATCACAGCCACCACAGAGTTGCAGGACCAGGAGCACACCAAGAACTGCAGGTTTAATTAGTCCAAGGCAATATTGACTCGCAACTGGTTCTACCTGGTCAGATTTTTCCCTATAGAACCTCTGGATCATTCACAGTCTATTTTCCTGCCTCTTGCAAAGCCTTTCACTGGTCATTAAGGTATTTCTGTGGAAGCACAGCACCTCCTGTCTATTTAGCCATGCTCATAACTCTGTGAAATTGTTTACAGCCAGCCAGATGCAAACAGAGTCCCCAGGGAGATCCTTTTCCCAGCCCTGTCCCAGGGTCGAGCTCGCTCATGTTGCCACAGGCTGAGGGCAGCTGTGTGGATGCTCCTGCCCACCAGATCCAGGAAAGGGCCTGGTTGCCATATCCAGCACCAAAAAAACACCTGGATGAGGAAAAAATGTGGCACATCAGCCCCACACTGGAGCCAAAGCAGCAGGAGAGCATCCCGAGCCAAACCCAAAGGATTTACAGCTGAAAATAGAGATGGAGATGAGGATGGAGATGAGGATGGAGATGGGGGTGTCTCCTGCTCCCTCTGAACATCCACCTCTAGACAGGCTGTCAGGTCTGATGGATGAGATGCTGCAGGACCAGAGCCAGGAAGCTGCACTGCCTGTACCCTCTCAGAACCATGGAATTCATCACGGAATCATGGAATTGTTTAGGTTGGAACAGACATCCAAGATCATTGAGCCCAACCATTTACCCAGCACTTCCAGGTTCACTGTTCCTGTTCAATCCACCTGGCCCAGGATCACCATCAAGCCCTCCAAAGCCATCAAGCAAACAACAAAATCATTTAAAAAAACCCAAAACCACCCAATCCATTGATGAAAGAGGCTTTAAACTTGATTTGCTTTTGTACATTTGCTTTTCAAATTATTTTCCAAGCTGGAGCTTTCCCATTCTCATCATCATTCTCATCACTGCTTTGATTATGTGTTTAAAGTTAATTCTTGCACTTAAAAAAAAAGAAAAATCCCATTTTCCTTTTCAGTTTTGGTGCAATGAGTGCATGTGGGCATTCCCTGCGGTAGTCTGAGCTCTCCTGCAATTTTTTCTCCCAACCAAGGTCTTTTTCCATGGAAAAGCTCTCCAGGAAGCAGCTCCCCATGCTCCATGGAGCACTGCAACTGAAGGATGTGGGAATCCAGGGCTTCCCTCTGGCTGCCCTGGCAGGTCTGGGACCCTGGCAGGGGTCAGGAACCCCCCTGGACAGAGCCCCCAGAGACACTGTCTGTGATCTCTGTCCATGGAAAAGAGTTTTCAATCTTACAGGATGAATTACAAGCTCTGAGTGAGTGAGATTATAAAAGTCTCTGTCTTTCTGCCCCGCTGCCAAAGAAGAAGCCATAATTCGTCTGTGTTGGTTTCAAGGTTGTTTATTCTGTTTATCTCTAACATGTTCTACTGCCCTGCCGCAGCTCTGTCCTGCAGGGCAGCGTGTGGGGCTCTGCCCTCAGTGGGATGGTACAAACATTAAATACCAGAAACTACCTGTGCTGGATTTACAATAACGTGCCAATATCTGTCACCTACGTTGGACAGTGTGTCCCCAGCCTGACCAACAGAAAAATGCCAACACCACAGTGAAACATGGAGGGCATGAAGAAGGAGAAAAAGGACAAGACACACCCAATTTCCTCCATCTTGTCCCCTTTGGACCCCTAATCTAGAATCCTAAAATTTTACTTCTGCACCCGTGTCACACTTAATTATTACTGATATCGAACACTCAGAGCTGGTAATTCATCCTGTAAGATTGAAAACTCTTTTCCATGGACAGAGATCACAGACAGTGTCTCTGGGGCTCTGTCCAGGGGGGTTCCTGACCCCTGCCAGGGTCCCAGGAACTGGATTTCCACAGTTTTTAGCAGCCTTGTTGATAAAACTCACATTTTCAAACGTGGTGCTGCAGGATTTCCTGCTTCTCCTGCCTTACCACGTTCCTCATCTTTCCAGCAACAAACACCCTGATGGTCCCAAACGCAGGTGCCATTCACACTGCTCAGCATCAGCACGAGCTGCAGCCATGCTCTGCCACTTCTCCAAGAGTTCACTGGCTGACCACTAAAATAAAAATCCCAGTTAATTGTGCTGGGATCAGTTAAAACACCTCTCAGCTGCAGGGCACAGGCATCATTTACACCCAGAGATATTTTGGTGGCCCCTGGCACGAGGGGACAGCACAGGGACAGCTCTGATGGCACCAGGAACTTGCCTTGAAAGCCATTTGGCAGCTCCCTGTTCTTGCTGCCTCAGAAACATTGATCACCCTCCACTGAGAGCTTTGGCTTTTCTAAAAGTCTGATTTAATTATTTATGACCATTTGCTGAATAAAATATGGCACCTCCTGCAGCTGAGGGATCCTCCACGCGACACCCAGGAGGGAATTCCAGGCCAGCCCTTCCCCAGGAACCACCTGTGCTCACAGCTGGGGACTGGGCTGAGGCTCCTTGGGGGATAACACAGGAGAAGAACTCTGAATATTTGTGCAGTTTGCTGGAAAATGAATTTAAAATATATTAATGGAAGGATCCATAATGCAACGTTGCACCCTGGGGGACACAGGGGTGATCCCAGCCACGTGTATTTCCTGAGGGTGTTTTGCAGCAGACTTTCTTCACAGAGCATCGACTTTTGGCCAAAAAATCCCCACTTACAACACTAATTTAAGCTGCCTGAGATCACGTTATAGCTGGTTCTATTCCTGTTGTGCTTGTCAAAGGCACATTTCCACGCCATCTGTGGGCACTGCTCGCTGTAAATGCTCAATACAGACATTTAAGGAAACATTTATGGCAAACTTTAGTCATTTCTGTGTTTCCAGCACACCCAACCTCCAGGCTGGGCTCTGTTCTCACCACATCCCAGAGCTTCTCCCAGGTAGTGAAGTCACCCTGATGAGTCTTTTGGAATCACTGAAACATGGCAAAGGGTGATGCTGGAACTGAGCATCGTCCTTCCAGCTCCAAATTGCCCCAAAGTCCTGAATCTGTGCAAAGCCAGGTATTTCCATGGCAACAGCCAGGATGCAGCTGGGGAGGAGGGCAGGATATTTTGGCAGCAGAGCACAGAAGGGTCCCCTAGCCCAGGGAAGGTGTGAGGAAATGGGGAAAGCAGCACAAAACCTGCTCTGGGGATGAAGGTTTAAGCCAGGGGTTTCTGCAGCACGAGAGCTCCTGTGCTTTTATCTGGGAAAGGAGAGGAAATGTCCCCAGTGATCAGGGCTGCTCTTCAGGGCAGATCGATGCAGGCAATCGAGAAATGCTGCATTAAGGGCCCTCTGATCTCTCCTGGTACAGAAATATCTGAAAAAGGCAGCCCTGGGTGCTTGAGAGACATCAGAGGGTCCCTCTGCCAACAGCAGCTTTCATTACCAACCTGCAGCTCATCATCCTCATCCTTATCTTGCCTGAACACTTTTGACAGCTACACAAAGGCCTTTTCCTTTTTTTTTTTCTTCTTTTTTTTTTTAATAAACTGGCCTCGAGAACACTTAAAGCTCTCAACATTAATTTTTCAAATCCTAGTAACATTAAATTAATTTACAATTTTCTACCCATCCAGAATGAAATAGCTGGCACTGATGCCTGCAATCTGATATTTTGGAATAGCAGGCACACAGAAAAACAAACCCAAGCTGCAAAAACATTGGTCTTACCAGTCATTTGTGTTATTTAGCAACAAACCAGGCAACATGGCTGCAAAGCAGGGGCTTCTCTGAAAGGGTGGGAGGAAGAGACTGACTGCTGTTCCCATGACACATGATGAAGGAATTAGTCAACAGCTACACAGTGACAACCATTCCAGCTACTGAAAAATAAACAATATATCTGGCAGAAGACAAGCAGGCTGTGGTCAACCCCAATATTTGAAAGAATTCAAAGAACAAGCAGCAAAATGTTCAATCCAGGTTCAACAGTTACTGATGAGTAAAGACTCAGAGCTGCTTCCTGTGTGGCAAGTTAAACATAAACTAAGTTTTTGCAGAAGAAAGACCAAGATGACTGTTTGCTCTCACACAGCACTCAGCTCACATTCCAGGGACACGTGTGCAGGTGGGATTGCACAGGTAACACCTGCTTCCCTCCCTCTGGGCCATGCAGCTGCCTGGAAGGAGCTGAAAACAGACCTCAGCACTTCCCTCTGTGCAAAACAAAACTTGCAAAAGAAGGAGAACATTTCTAATTACAAGAGGAATATTTCTAGTTGAAAACTCGCATCCCTCCAAACCTGGGTATTGCTGGGTTAGTAAAAAAGTCTCATTTCATCTGATAAAAGCTCTGAAAAATCACAGAATGTTGGTCATGCTGCTTATCCTGCATAACAGGACACAGGATGCCTGACAAAGTCAGACTTCACCCCTTCCCTTGCAGCCTGCTGACAAACAGTCAGGTTTGCAGCTCCCAGGGTTGGTTTGATTTATTGTGGCCATATGGGGTTGGGGGAGAGGAAGAAGATGGTGACAGATAACACAGCTCATCTCAACCTGCACATCCACTGCAGCACAGGACTTCTCCAGAACACAATGCCTTAACCATGGCAACAGCCAAATACTGAGGGCTGCTCCATGCCCTGGCTAATTCCAGTTTATTGTTTCTGTCCCTGCTCAGATCAGACCTTCTTCCCAGTGTTTGTCTTCTCAGTTATGGCCCTGTGGTGACAGACGTGGCACAGCTCCCCAAGGACAGTCCTGCCTGCCCCTGTTCTCAGCTGGGCTCACCTGCACTGAGGGCTGGAGCAAATCCAGGTGTGGCCTTGTGAAATGAGAATAATACAGCTTTGGGAAAGGTTAAAATTCTGGGAGTGGGGAAAAAAAAAAACCCCGAATTTCTGCAACTGGCCCTTTCTACTGCTCCTGGGAGTCTGCACAAGCTCCTGACTTAACCTGAGGTCGGCCTAGAAGAGGAATAAAAACCAAAAGCATGAGCAGAGAGCAACAGGCACAAGAATGCCCCACCTGCTCCTGGTTTCAGGGATGGTGCTGAGTAATTGACTCCATAACCTACAGGATCATGCTTCCCCAGGTTTTTCACTCCTACCAGAGCAAAGCCCAGGTGGAGAGCACAAGTCCTGCATGGAACTCCCCTACCCACAGCCCCCATCGCTGGACCCAGCCCCTGTCCAAGCTCAGCACTTCCAGCAGGAGTGGAAAGGCAAGTGGAAGGCAAATCCCAAAGGAATGGCAACCACCTGGAACCTGCAGGGAGCCCACTTCCACACCAACATCCCCAGCAATGGGATCACCAGGAAAAAGCCTCTGCTCTGTGACAGCACCAAGGGGCTGCTGAGAGAGCCAGGAATGTGTCAAACTCACACTCACAGCATCGTGGTGGCACTTCACAGGGCAGTTTCCCCACACAGCCCTCCCTCAAGGTTTACCCACATTCACCAAACCCACATTATCTCCCCCAAAGCCAGCAGGAGGGCAGGAACCAACCCCAGCTCTGCTCCTGGAGGTACCAACTCCACTTTCCCCCAGCCAGCAAAGCCAGGCACTGAAGGCCAGCACAGGAGAGGCTCTGGGGGATGCCAGGAGCAGCCCTGGCTCCCACCCTGCAGCAGCTCTCCGCACTCAGGAGCTGCCACAGACAGCAATAATGAGATGGCAGCTCTATCCACAACGCTAAATAAATGTCATGCCCTTTTTCCTGGTTTAATAGCCGTTGCTGAGGCAACCGGGAGTATTCCTTAGCACCACACCCGGCACAGGATTAAAGGTGGGAAGTGGTCAGGGTGGGCAGCGCTGTCACCCTCCCCAGACCCACCACCCACGGGTGTGCTTCTCCCGGCTCCAAGCAGCGTCTTCCACTCCCCGGGAACCTGCAAACCGGCTAGAGAGATGCTCGTAACACCAGAAACAAAACACCACACACCTCCCCACCCCCTCCGGCATCCCGGGAGGTGACCTGCGGGGACACGACAGCAGCTGCCGGTGACCCAGCGCTCAGGTGTGACACACGGGATAAACACGGAGCTCCAGGCAGCTCAGCAGAAAACAACGCACAAACTAATAGAGTTAAAGATGCCTGAGCAGGGGGAGCACGGCGAGATGCGGAACGCCATCACCCCGCACCGGGCACACACATTTGGGGCTCCCTTTCCCCAGCACCCGCCGCCCCCCGCCCTGCCGAGGAGCGCTGTGCTGTGTGCGGGAGGGCTCGTCCCATCCCCGCTCCCGAGGGAAGGATGCAGCACCGGGAGTCGCCCCTTTTCCCTGCGGAAAATCCCAAATTGTGGCGTGCTCTGCCCCCAGCCAAAGGCGATTTTCCAAGGATGCCGGGCACCGGCGCTGCAGGGATGCTTCTCCGCCCCCCGGGACCCGCTACCGCGCCAGGGTGGGTTTTTTGGGGGGCTCTGAACCCCAAAACCAGCAGCAGAACCAGCGGATGCTACGGGCGGGCCCGGAGCATCCCCCGGGCAGGAACCGCCGCTCCCCGCAGGCACCGGGCCGGGGCTGCTCCCGGGGGTCCCGCACCCACCTCCTTCTTGACGGTGCGCAGCAGCCGCTGCCGGGTCTCCGCCTCTGCGGGGAGAAACGAGGAGAAGAGACCCGTTAGTGCGGCCCTGCCCCGCCGCCCCCGCTGCCGGTGCCGGTTCCCCCATCGCGGTCCCCGCCCGCCGTACCCGCCGGGGCCGCCGCCATGGCCGCGCTCGCTCCGCAGCTCCCGCAGACTGCCGAGCACCGGGCACCGGGCCCGCGGGGCCGCCCCCCGCCCCGCCGGGGAGGAGCCGCCGCCGCCGCCAATCCGCTACCGGCACCGGCTCCCCGGTACTCGCGGCTCCGGTACCCCCGGTACCGGCATCCGCGCTACTCCCGGCATCCGCAGCACCGGCACCGCCGGTAGTCCCGCACCCCCCGTTATGAACAAAACAGCCTGGCTGGGACACTTGGCTTGGGCTAAGTACTGACATTGAAATGTTAATTAGCTAATTGTTCCTGGGAATCACCTACCTCCCCCCACCCTCACTACCATTCTAGGACTGGGATGCAAAATAATCCAGTGGAATCATGGGAGGGGGTTCCATTCCTCTAAATGGAAAAGATGGGCACAGTGGAGGGGGCTGGATGGGTGTGCTGGTTGGGGAAAAGGGAACCCCATCCCTAGTCTGTGTTTGACCTGTCACCATAACCTACAGAGGACCAGACTGGACTGGGCTGTGGGAAGCAGGGGCTAAGCACACACACTTCTTAGTGTTACCAGGAGAGAAGGAGAAGGATAGCTGCTGCTGGACTTCGGCAGCAGGCTCTGCACATCCCCTCACCCTTCGGCTACCTGAGTGCCAGGAGGAAAGGAGAGAGGACGGTCTGCTGGGACTTCAGATACGGACTGCACACCTCTGCACCTCCAGCTACCAGCGTGCCACAGAGACTCCAGGGACAGACTCTGCCGCCTGCTCACCCTTCGGCTACGGGAGAAGCTACAACAGCGGGGGTGAGCTCCTCGTTGAGCCCCCTGCCGAGCTGACTTTTTAATAAAGAGCTGACTATTAATAAAGGCATAGACCCCGTTCATTTCACCCCCGACACCGCCGGTAGCCCCGGCAGCGCCCCGAGGGGCGAACGGGTCCGTGCCGGTGTTGTCGCCCGGGTTCAGCCGGGAGCCGTGCCATGGTGCGGTCACACCCGTCCCGCAGCTCTCGGTGTCCTATCACCCCCCCAAAAGCTGAGTCCCGTTATCCCAGCCAGGCTCCCGCACCCCCGGCCCAGCCCCGAGGTGCCGGGGACGGCGGCGGCGGGGATGGGTGACACGGGCGGGGAGAGCCCTGGGGGTGTCCCCGCTCCTGGGGACGGCTGCGGACAGAGGTTCAGGGCTCTGCGGGTGAAACAACCGCGTCCTTTCAGGCGTGAGCCACGCAGGCCCGCTCCGGTGAGCTCCAGCACGGCGGGAAGGTGACAACGAGCAGAGACCCCCAACGCCTCCTCTCAAAACCACACCGGCACAGCCCCTCGGAGAGTGCCCTGCCCGCAGCTCCATTGTCATCTCTTCTGTTTTCCTCTTCCCTGGTTTACCATTCCAGGACATTTCCATAGAAACAGCATCCTGCCTCCTCCGCAGTCCGGTTTCCAATAACTACGAACCGCGGTAGTGCCGGGGCAGCGGCCCCGCTGCCGCCGGGCTCAGTCCCGGGACGGAGGGCAGGGACACGGTGTCACCCCTGCCATCCCCCCGGGCTGTCCCCAGAGCTGCGCTGCATCCTCTGCCTCGGAGCTTTTCCGCCCCGTGCTCCTCCTCGGTGGCCCAAGTGACAGCAGGGACCAGCATCCCCAATGGATCCCTCCACTGCCCAGGCTGGCAGGAGAGCAGGAGGGAGCTCCGGCCTCGGGATTATCCCAATTTGGTCCCTTCTGTACCTTCCAGGGGCCAGGAGGAAGTCTGGGCCATACCCATATTTCTGTGTACCCTGTTTGCTTTTCGCTGTTTATTTGTTTTTTAAATACCCGTTTAGCACAAATGTAACTCAAAGGAATGAGAGTGCTGGACCAGACGGGTCCAGAATCTCTGGGAGAAAATCATCTGAAAGAAGCACAGGGACAAGCTCCCCCCAAGGCTTGCTGCTTCCTTTTCCTTGGAAAATTCTGCCTCTCCTCAGATTAAAGCCAGGTGGGAGACGGTTGGCCCCTGTTTTCTGGAGCTTGGAGAGCTTAAATGAGAGCACGTTGATCTATACTTAATGTGATTAAGTTACATCTCTGAGTATCATGCTAATTAAATTAAACTTCCCACTGCTGCCTCTGAGGCTTAAACAGGATAGTTGTTTTAAGACCACAATTCACTCCCCTGCACTTTCCTGCATGGATGAGCAGGTGGGATAAAAGCATTCTGCTGATCAAGCCATCATGGTGTTTAGAAACAACTTCTCAAGCAAGGGATATTCAAATTTAAATCTGATTTGAGTTGGATTGAAACTCTGCATTTTCAGTCTGAAGTGATTTGTGCTTTGAATAAGGAAAATAACAGGGGGAAAGCAGAAGTAAGAGGCTGAGGCAGTGCACAGAAACAGGATATTGGGAAGAATTCCTCCCTGTGAGTGCTGAGGCCCTGGCACAGGGTGCCAGAGAAGCTGTGGCTGCCCCTGGATCCCTGGCAGTGCCCAAGGCCAGGCTGGATGGAGCTTGGAGCAACCCAGGACAGCAGAAGGTGTCCCTGCCATGGCAGGGGGTGGCACTGGCTGATCTTTAAGGACCCTTCCAACCCAAACCATTCCATGATGTGCCCAAGACCCCTCTCCCTCCCTCCCATCTCCAGCAGCTCATTCCACCTTCCAGCTTCGTGGAGATCTCAAAGCCCTCCCGTGATGGATCTGACAGGGCGGGCCGGGAGCACCGGGAGCGTTCACGGCTCATTCCCCAGCGAGCCCGGAGGCTCTGGCAGGGATGGAGCCACTGAACCGACGGCTCTGCTCAGCCCTGGGCTGGAACGGGGCATCCACCGTGCCCGGTCCGTGCCGGAGCACAGCAGCTCCCAGCCAGCAGCGTGAGCATCCCTGCGCTGCACACCCCGCCCGGCCCCGGCTGGCAGCGGCTGTGGGAATGGCTCCGGCCATGGATGGTCCTGCAGGACCAGCTCTGCCCCCCTGGGTGGGATTTGATAGCCCGGTGTGATGGAAACGAGAGATTCTTCAACGGAGAAAGGAGCTTAACTTGAAACGGATGCCGGAGATTGAACAGCCTCTGCTTCACGCTGGGAAAGGGGTCCCTGACCAGTGCTCGAGGGATGCTGGGGGCTGTCCCTGCTTCCCGCAGACCCCACAGACCCCACAGACCCCTGAGACCCCTGGCTGTGCCTGAGCCCATCTGCTGAGCCCTCCTGAGCAGGGGCAGGAGTTTGGTGGACACAGAGTGGTCTCCCACTTGTCCCACCAAACCATCCCACCTAAACCACCTGGAGAAAAGAAGGGCCAGCAGCAGAGAAAGAGCTGTTCTCTACTCTCTATTCTCTACTCTCTATTCTCTACTCTCTATTCTCTACTCTCTATTATCTATTCTCTATGATCTATTATTTTTCACAGTTGTTGGGGCACCAGCTGCCTCAGTTCTGTTATTTACTCCTCGAGATGATCTTTGGTCAAGGGGTTGAACCCCGCTCCACAAGCAGCAGGAATTCCTCCCCTTCACCCCAAAACCAGGACAAGGCTGCCCCACTGGAGCCCCCACAGCCTCGGCTCCCATCTCCACTCCCACACTGAAGGGTTGGGATGCACAGCTCTGGAAAGTGCCAGGAGGGAAACAAATCCCCTATAAACCACAGCAGATTAATTCTCCCTCACCTGTGTGCTGGGCTGGGCTCAGGGGGAGCCACACCAGGTTTAGGAGCAGGGGGTGATGGAGGGGCTGTGCCAGGACCCCCCAATCTCTGCTCGCTGCCCCCCAGCCCAGGGATCACCCTGAGCCCCCCCACCCAACCCCTTTTTGGGGAACATCCTCGTGGCTCCATGTAACCCCACCAGCAGAAAACTGCTATATTTCATAGGAGAGGTGTTCAAAGAACAATTATTTCATCTTACAGCCACAATAATTTCAGGTTCCACAGTGGAGAGGGAGAGGGTGGAGTTCAATCCACCCCGTGGAGGGACTGACAGGACTGGACCCACCTTTAGGCTTTTCCAACCGAAACAATTCCATGATTCTGTGATTCCATTCTGTGACAGCCAAAGCAGCCAGGGCCAGACATAAACAAAACAATATAAAACAATATATAAATGTGCTTTTAACTGGAGGTTTCTAACGGGTCCCCGTGTGTGTGCCTGAGGGATTAACAGTGTCCAGAGGCTTCCCGTGCCGGGCAGCTGCGTCACGTCGTCACAGCAACCCGCTCACCATGGCCCTGCAGCCGCAGCTCCCTCCTGGAGATGCTTTTAATTAAAGATGGGAAAGGCTGTGAAAGCTGAGGCTGGAGCCCTCAGAGCCCCGGGAGAACCCTGGTGACCCCAGGTCTGTGCAAGCCCTGCACAGACACGTTCCACTGCAATGAGTTTTGCTGTGAAACTGTCACAGGGCAGAGTGGTGGCTTTGGGGATGCTGCCATCCCCTCCTGGTCACAGCTCAGCTGTGAAAGTTATTTCACTTTTGTGTGGCTTTTTCCCAGCAATTCACACCCCAGAGAGACCTGTCGAGCCCAGATGGATGAGACGACCTTTAAAGGTCCCTTCCATCCCAAACCACTCCATGACTCCTGAAGCATCAGTGTCACCTCCTTAGCAAAACACACCAGGGAGAGAGAAATAAGGATTTGTCAGGAAGAAGGAGGAAACACCGTCCCATTTTACCACCTCAGCCCCAAAAACTGAGCCAGAATCCCCTCCCATGAGTGGGACCCACGGGGTGATGTTTATTTACACAAGGTGAGGTTGGTCCCCATGAGATGATGCTGGTCCCTGCAGGGTCAGGCTGGTCCTTGCAGGGTCAGGTCCTTGTGGTACGATGCTGGTCCCTGTGGGATGATTCTGGTCCCTGTGGGATGATGCTGGTCCCTGCAGGATCAGGCTGGTCCCTGTGGGATGATTCTGGTCCCTGTGGGATGATGCTGGTCCCTGTGGGATGATGCTGGTCCCTGCAGGGCCAGGCTGGTCCTTATGGGATGATGCTGGTCCCTGCAGGGTCAGGCTGGTCCTTGCAGGGTCAGGTCCCTGTGGGATGATGCTGGTCCCTGCAGGATCAGGCTGGTCCCTGTGGGATGATGCTGGTCCCTGCAGGATCAGGCTGGTCCCTGTGGGATGAT